TGATAAAAGGGGTATACTCCAGATGACAATTCAAACCCGATGATGTCCAACTCACTTCAAGAGTACAACGTTCCTCTGAAGTCTCTCAGTTGTGATACTCTGCAGCACTTCACGGGCCTCACTATAAAGACCAGCTTTAACCAGAGAGCTCGCGTGATGGAAACGATACCTAGTAGATCGTCGAACAGAGAAGGGCGACGGATGAAATGATATGCTCGAGAATTTCATCACTAAGTGTAGGAGCTTATATAAAACGAATTCGGGTAGAAGTGCACAGAAATCAACGAGAATTTTCATATTGTCATCACCAACACATGTAGTTGATCATATGCGTATTGAGCTCCCAACACGGTGTGCTCCTCACTCGTCGTTGTCTCCAGGTGGACATATCTCCAGACCGACTAAGTAGCTGTACACGTCGGCAGCCTTTTCGAACTGTTCTGAATGGTAGTAGCAGTATCCCAGTAGTGATAAACACGCTCGTGACCTGACCATAACACAAATCACCGTGCGTGAAGTTCGTACCCGCGACCTCGCGCTTGCAAACCACACCCCCTAACCAACTGAGCTATCAAAGCTATTAAAACCAACTCCTCCTCCACAGTACCCCGGCATATAATCCTAGCAAGGCTCACTTAGGAAACTCCTGCCTCTGATATTCCAGAATTCTTATCGCTTCGTCATATTTGGAGTTTCTAATCAGCGAATATACACTCCTCGTAAACTCCCCGGTCTTCGGGAGCCACGACGCCTTCACAGGACCACCCCCCACTCCAGTGCCGAGTTGATGGTGACTCGTATGCATACTATCAATGATAACAATAACCCTAGTGACCCGCTAGTAGTGGGGTGTAGTACTAGCAACATATTCAACAACAACAACAACAACAACAACATATACAACAACAACATATACAACAACAACAACAACAACAACATATACATATACAACATATACAACATATACAACAACAACATATACAACAACAACAACAACAACAACAACAACAACAACAACAACAACAACAACATATACAACAACAACATATACAACAACAACAACAACAACAACAACAACAACATATACAACAACAACAACAACAACATATACAACAACAACAACAACAACAACAACAACAAC